CATCGCCACAAGAACATTCTGACAGTGTGTTGCAGGCGATTTTAGAGACACAGAACCGAAACTTTCTAGAGTTGCTGAAAACTGTGCAGACAACATCGACTGCAGCCTCGCAAAATATTTCGGTGACATTGCCAATGTTTAATCCTGATGCGCCTGGAGCCGATGCCGCAGCGTGGTGTAAAACCGTGGATATGATCTTATCCGAGCGTCCACTGGAAGGCGGAGCACTAGTCATGGCGCTTAGCAAGTCGCTGCTTGGAAACTCTTCGCAATGGCTGTCACAAATTTGCTTCGCTGGAATGTCGTGGCTGGAATTTAAGGATTTGTTTTTACACCGCTATGAAGGCATCGAGCCACCGTCTGCCGTATTGCTCAACATTCTCAACGGACGGCCGAGTGCAAACGAGTCCTTGTCAGTATATGGCAGCAGGCTGGTGACGTCACTGCTGACGAAGTGGAAAGGAATGAGCCAAGAGGAGATAGCTGTTTCATTAGTGTTGGCCCACACGTCCCAAATCGAGCCCAGACTGCAAAGTTCCGTTTTCACTACAAACATAAAAACTCGGAATGAACTGCAGCAGCTCTTAAAGGCGTTTGCATTCAACAAAGTGAGCGACTACTCTGGATTGGATCAAGGACCGGACAGGAAGAAGTTTAAGGCGCAGGCGCAAATCAAATGTCATTATTGCGGCAAGATAGGACATAAAGCGTTTGAGTGCCGCAAGAAGAAGGAAGAAGAAAGAAACGTCGCAAAACCAAATCATCATGCTGGCAAACCTTTGGCTGGACGAGAGAGGTCAGCAGTTACTTGCTTCAAGTGTGGCAATCCTGGTCACATTGCATCTGTATGTATGAAGGGAACGACATCGGCGAACAACTTCAACAACGAGAAGCGAGTCGACATGTGTGCAGTGTTGGAGCCAACTAGTATTATGAAGCAAATGGGTGAGAGTTTTATCTTCTTCTTCGATTCGGGTGCCGAATGCTCTTTGGTCAAGGAGAAACTTTGCAACAAGCTGGCTGGAAAAAGGATTTATAATACGGTAGTGCTAAGAGGAATAGGTGACAACATTGTTAAAAGCAACTTACAAGTATTGGCAACTGTAAATATTTCCGAATTTAATGTAGAAGTCCTATTTCATGTAGTAAAGGATAATTACCTTAAGTACGATATTATAATTGGTCGAGAAATATTGCAGCTAGGTCTTGGTGTCATGATTGATGCTAACAAATTAACAATGTATAGGAATCAAATTGTCAATGTAGTGAGTAATGAAACTTCGATAAGTATCTTAGAAAATCTGCTTAACGATAATGTGGAATTAGCTGATAATGATAAGATAATATTAAGAAATATTTTAAATGAATTCTCAGATCGATTTATAACTGGCATGCCACACAGGCGTATAACTACAGGAGAATTAGAAATTCGTCTAATTGATGAACATAAGACTGTACAAAGACGTCCGTATAGACTAAGTGCAGAAGAAAAACTAATAGTCAGGGACAAAATTCAACAAATGATTGAAAGCAATGTCATCCGCCCAAGTAGCTCTCCATTCGCTAGTCCGATGCTTTTAGTTAAAAAGAAAGATGGCAGTGATAGACTATGCATTGATTTTCGCGAATTAAATGCGAATACGGTGTCTGATAAATATCCATTGCCATTAATAGCAGATCAGATAGATAGATTACGTGGTAGTAAATACTTTAGCAGTTTGGACATGGCCAGCGGATTTTATCAGATACCGATTCACACTGATTCCATCGAGAAGACAGCTTTCGTGACTCCAGAAGGCCAATATGAGTTCCTTGCTATGCCATTCGGTTTGAAGAACGCTTCGTCAGTATTTCAAAGATCGATTGTACGAGCCTTAGGTGATTTGGCATACTCGTATGCAATTGTCTATATTGATGATGTGTTAATAGTCGCAAACTCCAAAGAAGAAGCTTTTACAAGATTGAAAGTTGTTCTTAAAGCCTTGTCAGATGCCGGGTTTTCATTCAATATAAAGAAGTGCACATTCTTCAAGACAGGAATAGAGTATCTCGGGTTTTATATTAAAGATGGCGAAATTAAACCCAATCCTAGAAAAATAGAAGCTCTATCCGCATTAAGCCAACCAACTACTGCCACGCAGTTAAGACAATTTATAGGTTTGGCTTCATATTTCAGAAAGTTTGTTCCACGATTCTCTGAACAGATGAAACCATTGTATCAATTAACTTCTAAGGTAAATGGATTTGCTTGGAAGGAAAATCATGAACAAATACGAAAAAAGATTATTGACGTGTTGACAAGTGACCCTGTGCTGACCATATTCAACCCTGAGCTTCCGATCGAGTTGCATACAGACGCCAGCGCGGATGGCTACGGTGCAATGCTCCTTCACAGGATTGACGGCACATGTAGGGTGATCGAGTATTTCAGTAAGTGTACATCGGCTTCAGAATCAAAATATCATTCATATGAACTAGAGACTTTAGCCGTGTATAATGCTGTTAAACATTTTCGACATTACCTGCATGGTAGAAAGTTCGTCGTCCATACTGACTGCAATTCCTTAAAAGCGAGTCGCACAAAGGCTGAACTGACACCACGAGTACACCGATGGTGGGCGTTCTTGCAGGCATTCGATTTTAGCGTAGAATATAGAAAGGGAACTCAAATGGCACACGTAGATTGCCTATCCCGAAATCCTATTCCAGATGTCCCGAAAACGATAAACAAAGTAGTTGAGGTTCGCGTTGACTTGGCAGCGATAACGGATAATTGGCTAATCGCTGAACAGCAGAGGGACTTAGGTATAGTTGATATCATGACACAAATAAATGGAGGTGAGATGCAAGTTGACAGAGCTAAAACTTACGAAGTAAGAGCCGGATTGTTGTATCGCAAAATTCAGAGAAGCGGCAAGACTCGTTGCTTACCAGTGATTCCGAGAGCTTTTAGGTGGTCGGTCATTAATCATGTACACGAGGCTATAATGCATCTTGGCTGGCAGAAAACTCTAAACAAGGTCTATGAACAATATTGGTTTGAAGGTATGTCGAAGTACGTTAGAAAGTTTGTGGAAAACTGTATAACCTGTAAGCTCTCCAAACCCTCAACAGGCAAAGTACAAATGGAACTGCACCCCATTCCCAAGGTAGAAATTCCCTGGCATACCGTACATATTGATATTAGTGGGAAGCTGAGCGGCAAAAATGACTTAAAGGAGTATATCATAGTACAAATAGACGCATTCACCAAGTATGTTTACCTATATCACACACTGAATTTGGATACGGAAAATTGTATCAACGCAGTAAAGGCAGGTATATCACTTTTTGGGGTTCCTAGCCGTATCATTGCAGATCAAGGTAGGAGCTTTGCCAGTGGTCGATTCCGTGATTTTTGTTCATCAAATAAAATTCAGTTACATTTAATTGCAACAGGGGCAAGCAGGGCAAACGGCCAAGTGGAGCGCGTGATGAGCACGTTGAAAGGAATGTTGACGGCAGTTGAGACAAGCGAACGCTCTTGGCAGGATGCATTGATGGACATCCAATTAGCTATGAACTGTACTAGTAATCGGGTGACTAATTTCAGCCCCTTAGAGTTACTAATAGGAAAGCAGGCAAGACCTTTGGGCATGTTACCCATAATATCCGAACCTAAGATAGATTGTAAGGAAGCTAGGGCAGAAGCTAAAGAGAATATGGATAAGAATGCAAAATATGACAAGAGTAGAGTTGATCAAAATAAGGCAAAAGTTGTGAAACATGGGATTGGCGATCATGTCTTGCTAAGAAGTGAGGAACGGCATCAAACGAAATTGGATCCCAAGTTCAAGGGACCGTTTGTTGTAACAGAATTGTTGGAAGGTGATCGTTACCTGTTGAAATCATTGACTAGTAAAAGAACATACAAGTATCCGCATGAGAGCTTGAGAAAACTACCAGATAATCGAGTTGCATCTGAGTTGCTCAAAGAGAGTGATGGCGTTGAAATAGACGCAGAAGATGAGTTGAGATCTGTCACCTAAGAGGGGTGCACAGGACATCACACACAGAGGCTAAGTTGATCTAATGAGAGATTGTGGCACTAAAGGTGCATATCGTCGCAAGTGGCGGCAAGAGCCTGCACTGTGTTGTGATAAATTGTAAGCCAAATGGTCGGGTTTGCGCAGAAGAGTACAAGCTACTAATAAGAAAGAGTTATCCTGCCAAACTGTCATTTGAAGACACAAAAAGTGTATTGAGGGATTTAAAAAAAAAAAAAAAAAGTCATGATTTAAGTTAATGAGTAACTTCAAATTTGTTTCAGATTAGCAAAATGTGATGCCAATCCAATGTTAAGCCATGCACACGAGGACGTGTGATAGTCAGGATAGCCGTGTCGAGAGAATTAGTAATAATACAAATCAATGTTAAATATAACTGAGAGAAACCTGTCATTTTAAATAAAGTATTGAGAAAAGGAAGTGTGACCTTCTTAGACCGTTTAAGGGTTTCAAGAGCGTGGCTAGGTGGGAACCCACCTTAGCCGAGTGTGGCGCAATTGTGGTTGCAACGTAGAGTTGTGCAAAGTAGTAGAGGGTTCAGGACTCATTCTTTCGAGAACCTTCGAACGGGCAACACGAACAATTGCAACTCGCTGCGCGTCTTACTAAGAAAACCCAAGTGGAAGTTAAGTCATGACGGACAAATCAACTCGCGAAGCGGCTAAGAGACCCCTGTCTCCGACATGTATATTTATACCTATCGAAATGTAGAAGACATTTTTCAAATCGGACCATTCATTAAAAAGTTATAAGCAATCAAACAAAGGTTATATATCCTTCTCCCACGCACTCCCTTTAGCCGAGTGACAGGTATTAGATAGTCGGGACACGAACCCGACAATAGCGTTCTCTCTTGTTTTATTTGATATCAGAAGTTTTTGTTTGTTTACTTTTGCTCTCATAGGAGCTAATATATACATTTAAATTTAAATTGTTCAACCATGATTGTTGAACTATTGTTGGCTCGCGACTGGTGCGAGAGACGTTCCTTCCACGTAAAACACAGACTTCGAGTAGTTCAATTTGTGAAACAGTCGATCAGAAAAATAACAACTGAAATCTTTATTTCATGTTAGCATTTGTGTTAATTCATTTACATAATCTTACATTTGTGCTCTCCTTGTCTGCTCGCACGTCTACGCCGTTCGCCAACTTTTTACAACTGCGCAACTTCACTGCGTGGCTTTGGCAGCGGAGACGTGCAAGAGAGAAAGAGATGTCAGTACCGCGGCTTCGAAGCGGTAAATTCTCGAACATTTTCGCGATCTTGCAGGGGCGCATCGGCGCCACCGCGGTTTTGGGCGCGTTGAGTACGGGGCGATGAATTGTGAGTGCGAATGGGACAAGATGCATGGTCGCGGCGGCGATATTTAAGTTGCCGACGCAACATTCCCCCCCTCGTAATTCACCTGCTTTCGCGGTGGGTTACCAGGTAATATGTCCATCTTGGCCAGCTTTACCGACGGTCGGGTAACCAGTCCGTCCACAGTGCGCACCACGGCGCTGCGAACTTGGCCATCGGCCCCTTGGTGAACGTCAACGATCCGACCTCTCAGCCACGTGTTCCTTTTGGCATTTTCGTCTACAATAATTACCAGGTCCCCAATAGCGAGCGGCAGCGGCGGGGGCTGGAACCATTTAGTTCTCCTCGTGAGCGTTGGAAGATATTCCCGTAGCCATTTCTTCCAAAAGCGATCGGCTAGCTGACTTGCGATTCTGTAACTTTTGGCCAGTCGATCACCAGCTTGGATTAGTGATCCTCTTTCCCGCAAACCACTTGAGTTGCCCACTAAGAAATGGTTAGGCGTAAGAGCTTCCGCGTCCGCGTCGTCCAGGGGCACGTAGGTAAGCGGTCGGCAGTTCAGGGTGTGCTCCACGTCAGCGAAAGCGGCTCGAAGTACTTCCTCTCGTAGACCTTCTGCGGGGAGAATCTCGTTAAATAAAAATTTAGTTAAACGGGTGATTCCCACCCCCCCCCCGGGGGGGGCACCAGGAGGGTTGAAGCTAAACTCCAACGTTGGGTATTCTCGTTCGATTGCGGACGTTGATATGCGCTCTATATGATGCTGCAGGGCTCCGTTTGCTCCTCGAAAGGTTGTTCCGTTGTCTGATAGGATCCGCCGCGGGACACCTCGCCGGGCTACGAATGTTTTCAGGATACATAAAAAGGAGTCCGTAGAGAGTGAGACCGCAACCTCCAGATGCACTGCTCGAGTCGTGAGACAGGTAAACAGCACGCCCCATCTTTTCTCCCGTCTACGTCCCACTACGACATCGATAGGTCCGAAGTAGTCCACCCCGGTGAATGTAAACGGGAGAGTGTACGGAGAGAGACGCTCCTGCGGTAGACTTCCCATTTCTGGAGGCGCGGGTCGGGCGTTACGTATGCGGCACCTCGGACAATCCTTGGCAACCTCCCTTACGAGGGCCCTTAGTCCTTTGATCCAATACCGCTGTTTCATTTCATTGACGACGATCTCGTCGTTCAAATGGTGAAACCGTCGGTGGTAGTAATCCGCAATAAGATATGTCACCCGGTGGCGTCTCGATAGGATTATGGGCTGCTTCACATCCAACTCTACTCCCTCAATCGCGTTTATGCGGCCTTTTACTCGCATCACGCCAGATTCGTCTAGGAATGGGGAGCACTTAAACAATGGGCTCTAGCGATCGTATACGTTGTTACCCGCTCTTAGGGTTTTGATTTCTTCGGGAAACTCCATTTCCTGACTGACTCGCACCAGAATCACATCCGAGTCTACTGCCCGCTTCAGGTGTAGCAGCTGTTGTAGATGGCCATCTTTGGGTTCCTTAATTACCAAACGCAGGAATTGAAGAACTTTGCTTTGCGTGGAGCGCAGTTTTTCCAGCTTGCTAAAGCGTTGCGGATCCGGTACAATACAGGCTATTGCGGGTGTTTCGGTGTGGCTCTTCTCGTGGTGCATGATGATCTCTTCGTTCTTTGTAGAGGGATTCATATCCGGCCACTGGTCTTCTCCTCGATACAGAAATCCCGGGCCGACGAACCACCGTGAGGATCCGTCGAAACTTGGGTCTCGTGTCCATTTGGTACCGTCGTCGGCAACGTTATTTCCCCAACTCGTACTGCCACGAATTGGTTAAATTTGCGCGCATCAGACCGTATCCAACATAGAACGTCTCTTGAGTCTGACCAAAAGATTCGTTGATTGATATGTATTGTCATCTCGGCCTCCACGGACTTTGACAGCCGCAAGCCCAGCACCGCTGCTAGTAGTTCAAGCCTTGGAACTGATACAGGCTTTAGAGGCGCTACGCGCGTCTTGGAGGCGACCAGGGGACATTGAACTTCGCCATCAGCCTCGGTTCGTAAAAACACCACAGCAGCGTACGCATTAAGACTAGCGTCTACGAAGGTGTGTAGCTGACTTTGTAGGCAGCCGCTTTTCCGTGGGATGCATCGGGGTATCCTGACTTCCTTTAGTCGCGGCAATAGGTCCAGCCAATGCCTCCACTCGGTTGCATCGTTGTCTTGAAGCGGATCGTCCCATCCTACACCGGATCGCCAAATGTTTTGCAATATGATTTTGGCCCGGATGATGAAAAATCCTAATAGGGCAAGTGGGTCAAAAAATGGTCATGATTATACTTAGAACTCTCCTCTTTGAGTACTTATTTGTCGATCCTAGCGCTGTCATTTCCGGCTTGACCACATACGTGAGGAGGTCAGAACCTGGCATCCACCATAATCCCAGAACCTTTTCTTGATTTTCGTTAATTGCTGCGAGACATCTGGCAGAGGTGGCGGCGCCGTTCTCTAGCTCGCGCTCCTTCTTCATGGATTTTCTTTACTGTGCCGGCGAGTGATATCATGTCGCTCTCCGAATCGGCGGACTCGAGCCAGTCGTCGACAAAGGTGTTCCTGCATATAGCCGCGACAGCTTCCGGCGACTGTTTGGAGAAGCGCTCCGCATAAATATCAGGATCGCGTGACGTATCTCCTCCTCTCCACAAAAACATTTGGGACCCTTGGTCTTCAGGTCGCACCTTTACTTGGTGGAACATCTCACGAATGTCCCCAGCGACTGCTACTTTTCCTTCGCGAAACCGCATCAGCACTCCCATTAGCGATACCAGTATGTCCGGTCCTTTCAGCAGAGCATGGTTGAGGGACACTCCGTTGACTTCAGCCGCTGCGTCCCATACCATCCGGATTTTCTTCTTATTTGGGTTGGTAACAGTAAAGATCGGGAGATACCAGGAGTTTGAATTGGAGACTATCTCCTCTCAAACTAACTGCCGAGTGTACCCTTCTCCGGGTAACTCTTCATACTTTCAATCAAGAATTGGCTAAGGGCCGGGTCCTTTGCCATCTTAGCCTCCAGACATCGTAGACGCCCCAGCGCCATAGGATACGAGTTAGGCAGTATCATTTTATCGTATCTCCAGAGTAGCCCGGTTTGCCAACGCTTAGCTTCGGGGTCGAAGGTTGTCTTAGCCTCCATTATACAAGCAGCGCGTTCATCCTCCTTCGATCTAAGGGGCTTATTGGCGACGGTTACGCCCAGAGATTCCAGCGCAAAGTGGTTTCTCATAGCCTCATCCAGAACGTGCAGGCGGTCCCCGTTATTGCACTCGCAAACGTGCAAGATACGTGGGCGCGAAGCTTCACCAGAACACTGCCGTCCATAAGCGGACCAACCAAGTCTGCAACGTACTGCCACGATATCGTCTCCTTCTAGCTCTCGCACCTCGAGCGGAACGCTGGTTTTGATGTTATCTAGACCGATGATGAGTCTCGCCTTCGCATTGCGGTAGGTTGGCATTGGGATGGATTGAAGATCAGATCGCGACTTTATAAGTTCTTCTCCTAGGCTTTGGGTAGGCAGGTCTAAATGAGCGACGGTCCTTACTCCCTTTAAATCATAGCGTGTTGCACCCTGGTTTGCAGCCGAGATTTAAAGGTTCACCAACTTGGAGGCCGGTTCCGTTTGGGAAATTTCCCCAGTCCAGCGCAGATAAAGCTCCTTTTCCGGGCCGTCTAGTCCCAACTCGTCGGCCAGATCCTTCTCTATCAGGGTGCAAGCGGCGCCTTCATCAACCAACGCAAAGGTATTTATGTAGCAGTTTCGACCATACAGCTGCACCTTGATTAACGGAACAGCGCCTTCGATGATTCTCCTCCATGAAACAGCACGGCTGGAGGCCTTCGGGATCCTGTTGTAGCGTTTCCTGCTTCCTCGGTTGCTTGGTAGGAGTGCAACAGGGCATGGTGGGTCCTTCTACAGCCATCAACTCCGCAATCCCTTTTTGACCTGCAGCTTCAAACTGTGTGATCTTCTAGGCAGCAGTAACACAGGTTTTTATTGCGCACGAAGTCCCAACGCTGATTCCGAGACATGTCTAGGAAATCGGGACATAGCGACAGTAAGTAACCGCGTCCACATTTACGACAAGATGCACTTCTGTTGGTCCGATCACGGGTTTGCCTTTGGGGTTCGTCTGGTGGTGGAATTTCTGAATGTACAAGTATCCGTTCTCTTGTGGTTCTGCGTTCCCCTATGTTTGGCGCATATGGCGTGACCATGCTGGCGCACATAGCGACATTGAACAGCCAGTTGTCGAACATTGACAGATTGGCAGTGATTCCTCCAGTTGAGAGCCGGTGTCGGCCCCAGTCGAACTTCAGGTCCGTCGGTAGTTTTTCAACAAGTTCCCATAGCAGAGCTGGATCATGTAGGTACTCGTGTAGACCTATCGCTGATATTGTCGCGCAGTAGTTCTGCACGGCCAGCGCTACTCGGATTATCGAATCCACGTTGTTGGATCTCACGGCGGGTTCTTCTCTTAGTTTTCGCTGGAGACTAGCGAAGATAACCTCAGGACGTTCATATAGCATCCTGAAAGTCCCGATCGCGTAAGGAACTGTGGACGGGCACATTAGCTTACCACGTGCGGCCTCAAGTGCCGCTCCCTTAAGGGACCTTTGAAGGCGTATCAGGTTCTCCTCATTACTGAAGCCGCATCTGTCTGTAGACTGTTCATAGTTGCTAATAAAAAGCAACCACTTCTCTGGCTTGCCGGTGAATACAGGAAGTTCTCTGTTAAGAACTTGTCTTGCGGCTACGTGCATAGCCGATATCGGAGCCGCTTTGCCTAGGCGGTGTTGATTCCTCATATGCGCCTCCGTGGCCACGCGTTAGTAGCGGCGCTTGGTTATGAAACGGATCTGGCACCGAGTCCGGCTTTCTCAAGCCCCATGTGTTCGTCGAGTTGTTTAAGTGCGCCGTGTTGGCCTGAAAGGGCAAACTGATGCTTGGCCCGCACTTGTTGCTTTGGGTCAGGTGATTCCCAATGGCGGTGATGTCGAGCTCGCCGGTTTGATTAAACAATCGCTGGCCGTTTGTTTTCTTTATGACTCCCGCGCCGACTGATTGGGGCGTAGACATCAGCCCGACTGGCTGATCTGCACTTGAGTGATCAGCTCCACCTGGTCCTTCCGGCATGCTTGTTAACGTTGAGTCAGTGGGGAGTCCGCCCGGAGGCGTGGTCAAATCACCTTCAGATTTGTCCTCCTCTGTGTCCTTGTTTCCCCCTGGTCGGTTCCTCACGTGACTCGGGTTACGTAAGCCTCTAGGTTATGTTGAGCCGCAACCGCGTTTAGGTTAGGGCTCCTCGCTCAGCGCTGAAGCTGCGCCTGGTTCCAATATTTTTCCTTTAGCGCAGGCTGACTTGAACTTGCCCCGGAAGGTTGCAGTCACGCCGTTAGATTCCGATTGATGGCTCCACGTTTCAGCCGGGAAAAATATTTCAGAATGTTGGCTCGCGACTGGTGCGAGAGACGTTCCTTCCACGTAAAACACAGACTTCGAGTAGTTCAATTTGTGAAACAGTCGATCAGAAAAATAACAACTGAAATTGTTTGATCCCAAGCGTGGCTTGTGGATCAATATAAGTTTGTATACTCTTATACCTCTTCCCGGAGGGCAGAAAGGAAGACCGCGGAGTTATAAGATGTGTTGATAACTGATTTATTGTGAGCTTGGTAGATGGTTATATACTACTTGGAGATGAGGAAGTTAAAAGTAAAGAATAGTGGAATGGGTTGTATTCTGGAGTAGGTCAGTATGTTTTGACTACGGGAGTTGGATCGGCTGACACTGCAGAATGTGCTGACCGCTTGGCGGGTCAGTGAGACATCGAGTCAACCGTTGAAATTGACTATGTAGAATATGCTGATCAGCACTTATTATCTGCCGTGGGTGCAACTGGACGCCTGGTACTGTTACCAAACTGTAGTACTGCTTGATTTGTTGGTCGTTGGTCATGTTGAGCCACATTGAGACCAAACAGAAATCTTTATTTCATGTTAGCATTTGTGTTAATTCATTTACATAATCTTACATTTGTGCTCTCCTTGTCTGCTCGCACGTCTACGCCGTTCGCCAACTTTTTGCAACTGCTCAACTTCACTGCGTGGCTTTGGCAGCGGAGACGTGCAAGAGAGAAAGAGATATCAGTACCGCGGCTTCGAAGCGGTAAATTCTCGAAAATTTTCGCGATCTTGCAGGGGCGCATCGCCGCCACCGCGGTTTTGGGCGCGTTGAGTACGGGGCGATGAATTGTGAGTGCGAATGGGACAAGATGCATGGTCGCGGCGGCGATATTTAAGTTGCCGACGCAACAACTATTGTATTAAAACAAATTAAGTTAAAAAGTGTTTAAGTATTTCAAAATGCCTTTTAAACCTACTTTAGCTTTAGTAGTTCAGAAGTTACGAACTTACGAAATTTAGCCATTTGTAGCTTTTTTCCCGCTAAAAAAGCGATTTTTTCCAAAAGTGGTAGAACTAATGTTTTTTATATGGAGCTGTTTAACACCATATAAAATTTCCAGGATTTTAAACCAACGTTTTGGGACAAACTGACAAACTCACAAACTGACAAACAGAAGTAAATTTTTATTTGGGGAAGAAGAAGAAAGTCTTCTTTTGGCTATAACTTTTGAACGGAGCGTCGGATTTTATCATATGACCCCTCATCCCCACCCGCCCCAACAGCTCCAAAATTCGAAATTTTAACTTTTTTACTTTCTTTGCTCTTTCTTCCAAGGCAATTGATTTTCTTAAAGTCTTGGTATGCAATCCTGATAGTTGTTGCGATACCTTTCGATTGGTGTATTACTCATTATGATCGGACCATCACAGCAGATTTTCATTTCTTCGTGTATATTAGTATAGTCGCCTTCGCACACTTTCCTTGTGCGCTTCGTCCCTACATGGACTGCCGTCCATAGTGATAAATGTATGTTACAAGAAGAGAGAACGTTATAGTCGGGTGCCCCGACTATCAGATACCCGTTACTCAGGTAAAGGGAGTGCGAGGGAGATGGAGATAGAAAACTTTCACTTTAAACTTAACTTTTTTTTTACTTTTCCGAAATATTTAAATTTTTAAAATCGTATATAAGCGATTGTGGGCGTTAGAGGGGGCGGGGCACATTTTTGAAATAAACTTGCGCTGGGTAGGAACTCCAAGAATATTCATGCCAAATACCAATCCTCTAGCTTTTATAGTTTCCAAGATCTCAGCGTTCATACGGACGGACGGACGGACATGGCTATATCGACTCGGCTAGTGACCCTGATCAAGAATATATATACTTTATACGGTCGGAAATGCTTCCTTCTAGCTGTTACATATTTTTGCACGAATACAATGGGGGGTGTCACAGAAATGCCTTCCAACTAAATTCCCCCCCAAAAGAAAATCTCGGTGACACAGGAACCGTTTGAAAATCAAGTACACGATTTTAAACCAACCGAATAGTAGCCCTTGAAGCAAATGTTCCTAAAATCAGAGCAAATTTACTCCGAAACTTCTAGAAAACTCTATAGATTTTGTGACACCTACGGTTTTGATGGGTTGGTTTCCAAACCAACCGTCCCCAAATCCGTCGCCGGTTTCTGTTGGTTTTCTGTTGGTGTCACAGGAATTCGAAAGATATGCTTTTTTCGGAAAATTTACCGAAAAACGACCAGGGCTGGATGCATGCACTAAATATCAAATATTTAATAATTATCGAATTTTATTTGACTTGTTTGACTATTTTCCAATAAGTTTTAAACTTAATTTATGTTTTTATTGCAAAATTACAAAAATAATATATGTTTAAAGCGTATATTGCACACAATAAAAGAAAACAAGAGA